GGGGTACACCTATGGATGCTTATTAAATCAAATTAAAACACAGAAGGAAGGGCTGGGGAGATGGCTCAGCAGGTAAGAGCACTGGCTGCTCTTCCAAAGGACCTGGGTTCAATTCCTAGCAACCACATGGCAGCTCACAACTGTCTGTAACTCCAGTCCCAGGGGACCTGACATCCACAGAAAAACACCAATGCACATAAAATAAAAATAAAAAAAACACAGAAGGAAGAAAACAGCAATTCATTTAGAAATCAATATTTAGCCAGTGTGGTGGTGGCTCATGCCTTTAGTCCCTGCACTCTGGTGGATCTCTGTGAGTTCAAGGCCAGCTTCGTCTACAGAGTGAGTTCAAGGACAGTCAGAGCTACAGAGAAACCCTGTCTCAAAACAAACAAACAAAATCAATATTTAACTCATGACATGCCCTGCTTAATCAACCTTACTTGCTGTTATGTATTCAGTTGGTAGAGCTACTTCTTCTTTCTAGATCATTCGGTAAGGGCAATAACCAGGCCCTGCATAGAGAATCAGTGGGCAACTTTTGAACCAGCTCTGGCCACAGAGTCATGAACTTCAGAATAGCTGCCACTCAAACTGCAAGTGACCCAACAAAAATGGCTCAAGTAGTTTTTTACTGTGACTTTTTAAAAGCGAAACAATCCAGAAATGAGGATTTTTTTTTATCTGTTAGATGAACAAACATGTCCCCCACCCCTAAGATGTATGGGATACACAGATGACTGTAGCACTGAAGAACCAGAAGCCAAGAGGGAAATGAGTGCTCTTCTCACAAAGACCAGCTTCCATCTCCCCGGTCACTGCCCCCACCCCTGCCACCACCCCCAGACAGGGTTCTTTGTGCAGCCCTGGCTGTCCTGGAATTCACTCTGCAGACCAGACCTACCTCTGCCTCCTAGGGCTGGAATTAAAGGAAGTGAGCCGCCGGCCAGAAATGAGGATTTTTACAGGAAAGTTGAGAGACTTTTCAGGACACCACCAGGTTCAGTGTGGGGGCAGCGCCATGTTACCAATAAAGGAGGAAGAGGTAGTCCTTCTGGATTTTTCGATGAAGAGAAGAAAGCTTCCCAAGGGCTGCAGATTTTCCCTTGGGTCCCCTTGGTCCTTAACCTTTGCTTGCACAATAATTGGCGAGAGGGAACAAGATGTGGCAATGGGCCAGTTCAGTGCCCTAAGAAATCGGAATTCCAATCGCAAGGCTGCCAGCTGCCTTGCACCCACCCGTCTGCCAAACGGTGCTGCAGACTCTCCTTTCTCTCCAGCTGATTTGATCAGCAATAAAATGGCACGCTCAAAACCAAAGCTAGCAGATCAGCAGCTATGTGCCAGGTATGAACCTCTCTCTAGAGGCCCATGTAGTACTTACTAAAGGGTATCTGTGAGGAAGCAAGGGTGGGAGCCACAGAATAAGAAGTGGGAACAGAGGTGTGATCCTTCAAACTCCAGTCAGAGACTTAGGGTCTCACTTCACACCTCCTCGTGGGTTTGCTGCCCCACTCTCAGAGGAGCTGACATCCTTGACAGGCACTGTAGTAATTTGAATGTAATTGACCCCCTTACTCTCATAGGGAGTGGCACTATTAGGAGGTGTAGCTTTGTTGGAGTGGGCGTGGCCTTGCTCTAACAAGTGTCTCTGTGGGGTTGGGCTTTGAGGTTTCCTATGCTCAGGATACTGCCCAAAGCTTTAGTCAACTTCCTGTTGCCTCAAAGATGTAGGACTCTCAGCTACTTCTCCAGCACCATGTCTGCCTGCATGCTGTCACGCTCCCTGCCATGACAATGGACTAAACCTCTGAAACTGTAAGCCACCCCAATTAAATGTTTTTCTTTTATAAGAGTTGCTGTGGTCATGATGTCTCTTCACAGCAATAGAAACCCTAGCTAAGACAGAAGTTGGTACCAAGGATTGGGGTATGGTGATATGCCTGCCACGGTTTTGTTTGGAGTAATATGGACTTTGGGAGTTTGGGTTAGGAAAGCAGTGGAATGCTTTAAGCACTGATTAATGGGCCACACTAGTAGAAGTATAGAAGATAGTGGTGCTGAAAGTAGTGGGGAAGAGAAGGGTTATTCAAGAGGTTTCAGAGCAGAAGAATTTTTTTGTTTGTTTTTTGAGGCAAGGTTTCTCTGTGAAACAGTCCTGGAACTCACTCTGGTCAGGCTGGTCTCGAACTCACAGAGATCCACCTGCCTCTGCCTCCCGAGTGCTGGGATTAAAGGCGTGCACCACCACCGCCCGGCTAAGAATAATATTAATATGTGGCCTAGAGATCATTCTTATGAGATTTTGAAGAAAGTGGCTGCCTTTTGCCCTTGTCTGAAGAGTTTTGGAGTAATTCCCTTGGCAGAGGAAAGTATAGTATAGACTAG